CAAATGCCATGGCTGATCTGACAGGAGGTGGAGATCCCCAGAGTAGCCCCATGCCATATTTTAAAAAGACATTATTATTTTATTATTTTATTTTTACTTTCTGAGATGAAGTCTTACTCTTTCGCCTGGGCTGGAGTATAGTGGTACGATCTCCACTCACTGCAACCTCTGTTCCCGGGGTTCAAGAGATTCTCCTGCCTCAGCCTCCTGAGTAGCTGGGATTACAGGCATGCACCACCACGCCTGGCTAATTTTTGCATTTTTAGTAGAGACGGGGTTTCGTCATGTTGGCCAGGCTGGTTTTGAACTCCTGACCTCAGATGATCCATTCGCCTCGGCCTTGCAAAGTGCTAGGATTACAGGCATGAGCCACCTTGCTCGGCCAGAAGATTACATTAAAAATCATTTTGATTTTATCCATTTAATGTCAATAAATAAACCTCCCTCCAACCAGTGTTTGTGTCATCTTGTCTTTGCATTCTGTACAATCAGGTGCCTACGTATTTCTTGTTTTTTACTGTATATTATGTTGCTTCATATTTTTTCTTTTCACACTTGGAAATGGGCAGAGTGTTATTATTTTGAAATCCCCAATCAATGGTATTTGTAAAAGCCTATATCAAAAGCTTCTAAACAATGAGTGCCTTTGCCAAGGGAAAAAATAATTTTATTAATTTTAAAGCCTATGTACCTACTTGATGGTGGGAAAACGCAGAAGAAAGAGCAGCTGGTTTTAAAATAATAACAACAGTGATGACATCCACAGTAATACTGTGTGATTTGTCTTTGAAATCTAAGAGGAAAAGCCAAACTCCAAAAAACCATTTGGTTTGGTGCGGAAATAAGTCATAGGTTAATTTCTCCTTTCAGTGAAATACTATTCAAACTAAGTATTTATATTCTTCCCTTCACCAAAATGCAATTGAAAATCAACGTGAATCTTGTGGGAATTTAAGCATTGCATATTGTCTAGTTGACAGAGTCATTTATAAAAGTTCGGATATTTTATACCCCATCAGGGCTTAATTAGGGTTTATAAAGATCACTGGCAGTTGAAACAGAAATATTGTATTCTTCCTTTCCCCGATGACTCTCCCTTGTTCTTTTATGAGGGCCTTTAAAACTCATTTAAGTCTTGCAGAAGTTAATCAGAAAGATAGATACTAGCCATTCTCCAGGGGCGTCTACTCCTCTGAGTTCTTCCCCTTTCCCCCAAATGCCTTGGGCCGCCATAAGCACAGTTAGTTCCAAATTCTGTCCCTTCTCCTAATAAAGTTTTGAAAGGAAATTTTCTCAAACAAGAAGGTGATAGAAAAGGCACACAAAGCTCAAGACATCTGCACTCAGATAATTTTAGCTGACTTAGGCCAAAGGATGAAAAAGTGAACTGTTTGGTAACTCCACACAGTGGAAAATGCTGACACATGGTATCTCTGCACGGGAGATATTAACACTCTGACTGCGAGGGTGCAAAATTGAACAGATGGCACCTCTAAATTTAAGACTCATATAATCTATTTCCACTAGTGTTTTTTGTAAACTTTAATTTTAAATTTGGTTCTAAGAACAACAACAAAAAAAAGGTAGGGGGGTGTTAATGGCACCATCCAGGGACAAACTTACAGCAGCTTCTCTTTAAGAGCTCAATTAATGCGCCTCTAATTTAGTCTGTGATTCTCATCCTCTTCCTGTTCTGAAGTTTTCCTGGGAACCAGCGAAGATGAGACTTTGAGGGAACTAGGCTGTCTGGCCAGATAATAACTATACTAAGGGTTGTACTAAAACAGGACCTCTGAGGCACTTTACATCAAAATAAAAACCCAAATCATTCTCACTCTGGCCTGTCTGCCTTACTGCCTCTACATATCTGCATTGAGCATTTTATTGAGCTGCAACTATGGGCAAAAGGTGTGCAAAAATCTTACCATGGACTGTTTATTTTTTAAAGATAATGGGTTGACCAAGGCATAGTTTAACTGTCAAAGCAAACTGTCAAAACATGTTCATTTTAAGTTTAGCTGTTAAGTCTTGGGTGAGACTACAAAATGAGAATATTTTAGAGTGTTTACAATCTACAAATTCCATCCCTCTGGTTATATAATACAATTATTTAATAGTTGTTTTTGTCATGTTGCTCACAGAACAGGTATTTGGGGAGCTGCATTTTTATCTTGACATGTGTACATGTCTAATCTTCTCAACCAAACCTTAAGAGCCCTCGGAGCAGTATAGAGCTTATACCGCCTTGCATTCCCACTTCACCAGTTACAAAGATTGTATTAAGCACTCACTAAATGCATGTCAACTGAGCTCTCTAGCCAAGTTTAAAATGAGAGTGGAAAGATCACAATCAGATAATATACAAATATACAAACTGTTCAGGAAAGTGAGTGCTGAACAAAATCACTTTGTTAAAAAACAAAACAAAAAACAAAGAAAGAACCAGCCTCATACTCAGTAAACTCTGGGTCTCTTCCTGTTGGTACATTTGAGTGTCAGCTACAAGAACATCATCATTTCTGGGTGACCCCATAGGAGTTCAGATGCACACATCACCATCACTACTCTGCCCGTGTTGGCCACAGACAAGCATGGCATCATTCTGACCCTCAGGTGGAAGGCACAGAAACTGGCACTAGATAATTTAATGATTACCTTGCAGAGTATTGGGCAAATCATAGTATCTCTGGGAGACCCAGAAAATATAGCTGGAGGTCAGGCAGCCAAGAACAAGCTTCAGATGATGCTGCAGAACTTGTCTGGTAGACACTGATGTGGCTGTCACAGGGCACAGATGCTATAATTTGCACCACATTGCCTCCACTGCCAGTACTAGATGTTAGATGCCACCCCCAGAACCGCTGCCATGACCACCTCTAGAGGTTAGATGCAGCTGTTGTTGCTGTTTCCAAATTCTAGCCCCTGGGTAGAACCTGCTTCTTTGCCGCACCAGCTTTTGTTTGTTTTGAGATGGGGTCTTGCTCTGTAGCCCAGGCTGGAGTGCAGTGTGGCACGATCATAGCTGACCACAGCCTCGACCACGCAGGCTCAAGCCATCCTCCTGCTTCAGCTTTCCGAGTAGCTGGGACCATAGGTGCATGCCACCATACTGGGCTATTTATTATAATTGTTGTTATTATTTGTAGAGATGAGTTCTTGCTATGTGTCCCAGGATGGTCTTGAACTCCTGGGTTCAAGGAATTCTCCCACCTTGGGCTCCCAAACTACAGGGATTACAGGTGTGAGCCACCACACCAGGCCCACTACTAGCGTTTGATTGGAGACTGAGGGCTCCCTCTAGTCCTGTTGGTGGAGATTAAGCCAAGCGTTGTGCACTAAGTGCAAGGGAAGCAGGCAAACCAGTCTCTACCATTTTTGGCCTCTATAAAAGGAAGAAGGCTGTGTGTCATTCGGGGCATGCCTGCTTAAGGCGATGCTATTTTTCAGGGATAGGAAGAGGCTCAAATGCTGTGTAGATAAAAATAATGATAAATGTTCACTGCACTCACCATTTCATTAAATCTGGGGTTCTCTGCAGGGCTGACTTTGTTCTTCAACAATCCGTCGCTGTTAGCCACCATTCATTCCCTCACTATCCTGATGCTTTGTAATATCTGCTTACCTACCTATGCACTCATTAGCCTGTAAGCTCCCTGAGGGCAACAACCCTGTCCCTTCACTGCTGTATTCTCAAAGACACAGGGTTAATAAATATTCCACTGATGCACAAAAGTTTGCATCCTTGAAAGCTGGCCTCTAGGCAAGTTACAAAGAAGGGGCGTTGGGCAGTGGGAACAACACTAGTCTGTTAAATTTTTAAAGCACCGGCTTCAGAGTACCTGTGAACCACAAGGAACCTTACACAAATGTTTGTGCGTATGTGTATACATGCATTTCTCTGTGGAGAGAATCCATTGTTCACACCATTTTCTCAGAGGAAACAAGGGCCCCTAATATAGACAGCATCTATTTATGTTTGATATGTGCTTAAAGGAATACAGGCTTGCTATGAACACTTTGAAAATACAGCAAAATCCCACTGTAGGGTGTTTCTGTGGAACACAGCAGCATGTTCCTTTCTTTATTTACATTTTTAGAGAGATAAAAATGTCAGTATACACATATATTTACCAAAGCATAAAAATGTGGAGTCAATAGAAGAAAAACAGCTTAAAACAAAAGTTTGGATTTGACTTCCACTGTTAGCTGTGTATATTGGATAACTGGTCAACCTCTCTGAACTTTGCCTTCTTTGTGGATAGATTAGGGGTGATTCTTACTTCTGAATATTGCTGGACAGATTAAATGAGATGGTTTGAGTAAGTGTTTGGCAACCAGCTGGAGCTCAACACACAATATGTTTTCTCTTTCTGTCCAAAATTTCTAACAGCTAGACAGACAAGATTTCTAAGTTAAATTTACTCCAGCCTTAGAAAGATTTTACTGTATTGTTCTCTGTCTCTGATTTCAGTACTTGGGAATTTGACGTTGGGATTCAACTCTCCACTCTCAGTGAGGCCAAAGGAACAGAGTGGCATGTCTATTGACAGAGGAAGGAGTGTGATTTGTCTTATGGCATCACTGAGATGTTGGCTACTGAAGGTCCTTAGAAAGTGAGTGTCCCTGGGGCTCCTGGCTGAATGCTAGCAAAGAAACAACCTGGGTAGATTTGAAACACAAACTAGAAGGGCCAGTGGGTGAAGCACTCTCCCCACCCTGCTTCAGAGCAGAGGATCCTCAAATTCTCTCTTCCAGAGAGGTCCCTCCCATCCATTCTTGTAGCTTGCCATGCTGCCTTTGAGGCTCTAGAGTGAGCTTGAGATTCCCCAGAAAGAAGCTTCCCTTTGCTGGATGGTACTTATTGGAAAATCCCATCCTATCTGTTTGTTCCTCCTTAATGGAATCCAGTGCTCAAGAAAAAAGTACTACAACCAGGAAACCTGGGTCTTCCTCTTGCTTGAGGCAGACCTCTCAAGTGTGGAGATTCCAAGGTCACTTACCTGTCACAGGGACTCACCCATCGCCTGAATTCTGCCTTGAAGGGCCAGTATCTGTGTCCCGCCAACCGAAAAGTCCTGGGTACAAAGTGGAAAGGAGAGTTTTGTGCTATGTGTAAGTCATCAAAAAAAAACCTATGAAGGCAGGATTATTTATATTAACTAAAGAGATTAGGTTTTGAATTATTAAATTTGTTCATGTAACAGTTCTTAGGAAGTGATCCAAAACACAGCATACATATTGTGATACAAGTGAGATGATCTGGAAGAGGGTTTTAGATGTTATTTTTCATCTTCAAAGAAAAAGTTACATTTCAAAATGTCTTTGAAGAAGACTTATCGTGGTTTTAAAAATCGGAGGATTTTTAGAGTTGGGAAGGTCCCTAATGCTTATCAACTTCAATGTCCCTCCCCTCCTATATATCTCCCCCACCTTATGATGCCTGAGTTTCTCCTATGCACTCCGTCACTCTTCAAGCCAGTCAAGGAACAAGCATCATTGTCTCTGTTTAAGAGTGTTTTCGAAAAGTAGAATCTTAGGCCACACCTTAGGCCTACTGACTGATAATCGGCAGTCAGGTCCCTAGGTAATTCATACATACATGAGAGCTAAAGCAGCATTCATCTACAGCGCTGCTTCTCAGCCTTAATCATACATTTGAATCACCAGAGAAGCTTTCAGAAACTATTGTTATGAGCCCACCTTCAGTGATTATGGGTTAATCACTATAGGATGCACCCTGAGCAAGGGGAGTTTTATTTATTTATTTATTTATTTATTTATTTATTTATTGTTTTATTTATTATTTCAGATTCAGGGGTACACGTGCAGATTTATTACATGGGTATATTGTGTGATGCCAAGGTTTGGGCTCCTAATGATCCTGTTGCCCAAGTAGCAAACCCAGTACTCAATAGGTAGTTTTTCAACCCCTGCCCTCTTTCCACCCTCTCTCCTTTTGGAGTCTCCAGTTGCTCTTATTCCCATCTGTGTGACCATGTGTATACCCAATGCTTAGCTCCCATTTATCAATGAAAATATGAAGTATTTGGTTTTCTGTTTCTGAGTTAATTTGCTTAGGATAATGGGCTCTGGCTGCCTGCATGTTACTGCAAAGAACATACTTTCATTCTTTTTTATGGTTGCGTAGTATTCCATGCTGTAGATACAGTACATTTTCTTTACCACCACTGATGGGCCTCTGGGCTGATTCCATGCCTTTGCTATTGTGAATGGTGCTTCAAGAAACATATGAGTGCAGGTCTTTTTAGAACAATTTATTTTCCTTTGGGTATATACCCAGTAATGAGATTGCTGAATCAAATGGTAATTCTTAGTTCTTTGTGAAATCTCCAAACTGCTTTTCACAGGGGCTGAGCTAATTTGCATTCCCACCAACAGTGTATAATCATTCCCTTTTCTCCACAACCTCACCAACATCTGTTATTTTCTGACTTTTTAGTAATAGCTATTCTTGCTGGTGTGAGATGGTATCTTATTGTGGTTTTGGTTTTCATTTATCTGATGATTAGTGTTTTAAGCATTTCTTCATATATGTGTTGGCTGCTCATATGTCTTCTTTTGAGAAGTAGCTATTCATGTCATTTGCCTACTTTTAATGAGTTTTTTTTTTCTTGTTGGTTTAAGATCCTTATAGAGTCTGGATATTACACCTTTGTCAGATGCATAGTTGCAAATATTTTCTCCTATTCTGTAGGTTGTTGGTTCACTACATTGATTATTTCATTTGCTGTGCAGAGGTTCTTTATTTTAAGTAAGTCCCATTTGTCTATTTTTTATTTTGTTGCATTTGCTTTTGGGGTTATCATAAATTCTTTGCCCAGGCCAATGTCTAGATGAGTATTTCATAGGTTTACTTCTAGGATTATTATGACTTGAGGTCTTACATTTAAGTCTTTAACCCATCTTGAGTTAATTCTTGTATATGGTGAGAGGTAAGGGTCCAGTTTCATTCTTCTTCACATGGTTAGCCAGTTTTCTCAGCACCATTTATTAAAAAGGGTATTATCCTTTCCCCATTGTTTATTTTTGCTAACTTTGTCAAAGATAAGTTGGTTGGAGGTGTGCGGCTTTATTTATGGGTTCTCTACTTTGTTCCATTGGTCTATATGTCTATTTTTGTATCAGTACCATGCTGTTTTGGTTACTGTAGCCTTGTGGTATAATTTGAAGTCAGGCAATGTGATGCCTCCAGCTTTGTTCTTTTTGCTTAGAATTGCCTTCATCTCTTCAGGCTCTTTTTTGGTTCCATATGAATTTTAGAATAATTGTTTTCTAATTCTCTGAAAAATGGCATTGGTAATTTGACAGGAAAAACATTGAATCTGTAGATTGCTTTGGGCAGTATGAACATTTTAATAATATTTATTCTCCCAACCCTAGAGCAGGGAATGCTTTTCCATTTGTGTTGTCTATGATTTCTTTCAATAGTCTCTTATAGTTCTCCCCATAGTCATGTTTAACCTCCTTGATTAGATGTATTTCTAGGTACTTTTTTTGTGTGCCTATTGTTAATGGGATTGAGTTCTTGATTTGGTTCTCAGCTTGAATGCTATTGGTGTATAGAAATCCTACTGACTTTTATACATTCATTGTATATCCTAAGACTTTGTTGAAGTCATTTATCAGGTTGAGGAGTCTTCTGAGAAAATCTTTTGGGTTTTCTAGGTATAGGATCATATCGTCAGTGAAGAGAAATAATCTGACTTTCCCATTTCCTATTTGGATGCCTTTTATTTCTTTCTCTTCCCTGATTTTTCTGACTAGGACTTCTAGTACTATATTGAATAGGAATGATGAGAGTGGACATCTTGTCTTATTCCAGCTTTTAGAGGGGAATGCTTCCAGCTTTTGCCTATTCAGTATGATTTTGGCTGTGGATTTATCATAAATGGTTCTTACAATTTTGAGGTATGTTTCTTTGATGCCTAGTTTGCTGAGTTCTTTTTTTATCATTAAGAAATATTGGATTTTATCACATGCTTTTTCTGCTTCTATTGACATGATCACAAGATTTTTAATTCTGTTTATGTGGTAAAGCATATTTATTAATTTGCATATGGGGAGCCATGTTTGCATTCCAGGAATAAAACTCACTTTATCATGATGGATTAACTTTTTGATGTGCTGCTGGATTCAGTTTGCTAGCATTTTGTTGTGCACTTTTGCAGCTATGTTCATCAGTGATACTAGCCTGTCGTTTCCTTTTTTTGTTGTGTCTTTGCCAGGTTTTGGTATCAGGGTGATACTGGTTTTGTAGAATATTGTAGGAAGGAATGCCTTTCTCCTCAATTTTTTGAAATAATTTCAATAGCACTAGTACCAGCTCTTCTTTGCATGTCTGGTAGAATTTGGCCATAAATCCATCCGATTAAAGGCTTTTTTTTTTTTTTTTGGTTGGTAGGTTTTTTAAAAAAATACTGACTCAATTTCATTACTCGTTATTGGCCTGTTCAGGTTTTACATTTCTTCCTAGCCCAATCTTGGGAGATTGTGTATTTCCAGGAATTTATCCAGTTCCTCTAGATTTTCTAGTTTGTTTGCATAGAGACGCTGGTAGTAGTGTCTGAGGGTGTTTTACATTACTGGTTGTAATATCACCTGTGTCATTTCTGACTGTGATTATTTGGATCTCTTCCTTTTTTCTTTGTTAATGTAGCTAGTAGTCTCTCAATTTTGTTTTTTCTTTCAAAAAAGCAAATTTTCATTTTGTTCAACTTTTGTGTGATTGTCTTGAGACTCATTTTCACTTAGTTCTTCTCTGATTTTAGTTATTTATTTTCTTTTGCTAGCTTTGGGAGTAATTTGTTCTTGTTTTAATAGCTCCTTTAGGTGTGAAATTAGGTGGCTAATTTGAGATTGTTCTATCTTCTTTATGTAAGCATTTAGCACTATAAACTGTTAACACTGTTTTTGCTGCATCCCAGAGATTTTGGTATGTTGTGTCTCTATTTTCACTTGTTTAAAATATTTTTTGATATCTGTCTTAATTTCATTGTTTACCTGAAAGTCATTCAGGAGCAGGTTGTTTAGTTTCCATGTATTTGTGTGGTTTTGATACTCTTGGTATTTATTTCCATTTTTATTGCACTGTGGTCCAAGATGAAAGCAAGGGGAGTTTCAAATGCTTCCCAGGGGATTCTAATATGCAACAAAATTTGAGAGCCTTTGCTTCTTTAGCATATCCAACAAGTGGTTGCCCTGACTTTTAAAAAATATATTCAGAGACTGTCAAAGCCACCTATCCCATTGTAATTGCAAAGTGCCACTTGATGCTAAATTTGAAAACCTGCCTCTATGTAACGTGTACACTCCTGGTGTAGTTTCTGTCCTTGGAAGTCTTACAGAAAATGCCAAATCCCTGCTGAGGTGTCTAACTCATCTGGCTTGCTCAGGATCTTCTTGACTTTAGCACTCAAGATCCCATGTCCTAGAAAACCCCTCAGTCCTGGGCAAACTGAGATAGTTAGGATAATGTCACCCTTCCAGGTATTTTCTTCCATAGGTTAAGTATAAATGTTTTTCTTCATTGCATTCAGTGTTCCTTAAATTTCTAGGGAAACACCTAGATCTGTTGTCCTGCAATATTGGGTCTATCAACACAACCTAGAATGGCATTGAACCCTTAGTTTACAAGGTCAGAAAGGAATTATTATCACAAAATAAACTGGCCTTTGCAGAGCCTTCCTTTTTAAAACATTGATTTTAAGAGATCCTTCTTTGAAAATTAACTACTATCCGCCAGGCATGGTGGCTCATGCCTGTAATCCCAGCACTTTGGGAGGCAGAGGCGAGCAGATCATTTGAGGTCAGGAGTTCAAGACCAGCCTGGAAACCCCGTCTCTACTAAAAATACAAAATTAGCTGGGTGTGGTGGTGCGCACCTGTAATCCCAGCTACTCGGGAGGCTGAGACAGGAGAATCACTTGAATCTGGGAGGCAGAGGCTGCAGTGAGCCAAGATTGTGCCACTACACTAAAGCCTGGGCAAAAAGAGCAAAATTCTGCCAAAAAGAAAAAGAAAGAAAGAGAGAGAGAGAGAAAGAAAGGAAGAAAGA